TGGCCCTCAAAACAAGGCCGCCTCGATTGCCCCCGCCCGCCCCGACCCTCCCTGCCCTTCAACTGCCAGCCCAACTACGAAGAGTTGCGGGGCTTAAACCCCAAACGGCCTCCCGACGCGACCCGTCCCGCCCGTCCACCGCCCCGATGGGCCGTCGACGCCTCCTTAAAAGGGTCACGAGCACGAGGGCATCGCCGTGCCGGAGGATCGTAGCCATGCAAACTAGGAGTCGGTGTCTGGAGTTAAAGAACATGACATTACCAAATGAGTCATCAGCCTGTACTCTCACAAAGAGAAGCTGGGCAGTCTTGCTTTTTTTTTTTTTTTTTCACATCGGCGCCCAGCTATTGGTATAGGGGACAAACAGGGCGCGCCCGACGCGACTCGGCTCACTTAATCGGATATAACTGCTGTTCTTTCTGCTGTCCTGTCACTGGTTCCCCGGGCTCTGCCGGGCTTGACCGCAGGCACAGCTGCTACGAGCTCGGGCGCCTCCCGGACCCGAGGGCGGGCCGCTGGCGCGCGGCGCGGGAGGAGCGCGCGGCCCTGGAGCGGAGGGTGGCGGCCGCCAAGAGGGAGCACCGCGCCGAACTTGTCTTCAAGGCGAGGGAGCGCGCCACCCAGAAAGGCGTCAAGTTTGCTTGAGGTGAGGGGTGTTGGAGAGGAGAGAGACGAGTCGGTATACATTTTGCGGTTGTATTTTTTGGACTTGCCGGTCAGGCAAGAAAAATAAAAATATTTTTTTTGATTTTGAATGCACAAGGCTGTTAAATGCGACTTTAAAATTTCACATAATTTACAGTAAACAATTAATAGCATTTACATATGGTCATACTTAGGTCTAACTTTGTACATACAGATAAAATATATACAGTTATCAGTCAGGTAATCAAATTCTTAGAATTAAAAATGACTCATTTGGCTTTTGAAACCAATTTGCCTTGAAATTGGCAACTATAAAATACACATTTTAGCTTTTATTTACAAATGCGTAAACACATAAATGCATGAGGCTGCATATGATTCAAAGTGAACACAATATGAAAAAAAAAAATGTGTTGTCCATTTCTCCTAACTCTCTTCAAACCATTCATGTTTCTAAAAATATTTAATTACAAAATAAAGTTAATACTATGAAGATACAAATAGGTTGTCTATTATCACAGCACATACTCAACTCATGAGGAAATAATCTAATAAGGCCATCATAATACTTCTTTAAATCTCTCCACAGGCACATAAAAAAAATTAATATGGATTTATGGAAGGACATCAGACTATTATAAATCTAACAATAACGAATCAGAAATGAATGCATCTTCAAGGACGTTCTTAATTCACATAAGGGTGGTCATTAAAATCAGCTTCACTTAAAGCTAGAGGCGCTCGTTGAGCAGGGACGTTCGCGTAGTTAGCAGGAAGCTTCATATCCTGGGCAGGCCTTCGTCCAAAGGTACTGAAAGTGGGAGGAGGCATGTGGAAAATCAGTTCTAGCGGTTTTGGATAGCAAACGTCGCGCTGCTTTGGATAATTCACATAATTGTCCTGTGATGTGACAACTAAGTCAGGAGCAAAACTGTAGGTTGGATTCGAGAAGCCTGGCAGATTTCCCTGGTTTGTAGGTTTTAGTGGTGAGACCCTGCAACCATAATGAAACCAATGAAAGCACAATGCGACGGAAGCAATTAGCATTTATTAGTATGTGGTGTCCCCTCCCATGCTGAAAGCTGAGTCCAAGATGTTGAACAAATCCCCAAACATGACTATGAAGTATTAAATAAAATTACAGCATTACAGGTGAGTTTGAATATTAGTCATGCATCACTGAAAAGCTTTATGTAAAGGGAGCAAAATAATGCCACCAGACAAATACAGGAAGCCACACTACGAACACACACAAGACTTTAGTTTACCATAATATTCAAAAACTCCTATGTAATGCCATCCAACCCAAGAAGAAGAGATGAGTACCACAGATATCAAAGATTAGGCACAAAAAAGTTCCCAATTGTACTGTAATTAGGTTACTTGTTAGGTCAAAGTACCCACATATCCTAAATAAAATATTCACTTTAAAATAAAAAATATCCATATTCCTATTTTATAAATAATGTTTTTTATGTTTGTTTTTTAAATAAGAGAGAACACATTTATCCTGAAATAGAAAAAGCAACTTGGATGTCAGGAAGAGTTACATGGAGTTGTACCTTCCATTGATGAATAAGACTACCGCATTAGAAAAACACAGGAGATGGATTGAAAAGCATTGATTTCTTAACAATTCTAGCTAAGACTCCCAGCAACTAAAAACTGTCTTTTCTCCAAATGTTAATTTTTTGTCAGATTTATAGATAGTTTTGCAGTTACCTATGCTAGAAAGTTTTGCCATCAAAATTTATTTTTACATCATACTGTCATATGATACTGCTGAAATGTTAGAAAGTCATGCATACCAGCCACCATTTTTAGAACCAGTATTTGTACATTTTTTTAAAATCAAATCATGCCAGGAAAAAGACCCAGTCTAGAAAGACAAGAAATATTTGCAAGCTAGTTAAACAGACAGCATTCACAAAGAACATTTTTCATGTACCCAACTATCAGTGCTGAGGGTATGCATTATGTCACAAATCTCATTTATACCATTATTTGATTCACCAGCAGTTAATCTGCACTGATAGCGTAACAATACCAAAAACTAACCCACATGAAAAAAAAATCAGGCAAATGAATTAAGTGAAGCTTTACCTAATTAAAAGAAAAAGAAATGTCGTCGATGGGACTGCTGAACCGCTTGCTCGGCGGCCTGAACAGAAATACATCACAATCTAGAACTTTGTGCCTACCTTAATACTTTTCAAAATCAAAAATGGTACAGGGTGAAAAAGGGTCAACAGCCTATGCAGTAAAAGGAGGAAACATCATGCGCAGAACCATGCCCCACAACCCCAGGCAAGCTCTGCAAAAAAAATCTGAAAGCTGTGCATTGGTGTATGATTTTCTTGACTTTCTTTTTCTTGGAAATTGATGCACAAAGATCACTTGCATCATGAGCTTCTGTCAATGTGATATTTTGCTATGTTCACATCACTAGGACATCATTATTATTGAAAAATCCATACATACCTGCTATCACTAGCGTTAGGTATAACAGGCCTACTGCTTGGAACAGCAGTGTATTGACTCATGGCATCAGAGTCAGATTCATGGCCACTTGTTGAATCCGATCTTCTGCTGCCTTCACTAAGCATTGGCCTAAGTTCAACATGATCATTGGCCTCAGTATCTCGCAACTGCCGTCTAGCTTGTGGAGGAGTTTGAAACTTGAAGACATTACCACCATTGTTTCCTGATATTAAAAGTTTTCAATATTATAGATATAGGTGAACAATTGGTTAACTTGGGGCTATATATAACTAAACAGCTGTCATACCAAGTCTTGTTGGACTAAATATGGTGTTAAGTTCTGTAGGAGAAGGACTTTTCATTGTTAAATAGCCTGGTGTATTACTATCTGCTACCACCGAAGGGGCACCACGGGGAATATTTTGATATCTTTGAGGCTCTTCCTCTTCCTCAGGTGGTGCCACAACATTAGAATAATTTGGGGAGCTAAACATTCCCAAATAATCATTATGACCTGATTCATTCTGCCACTGGTTGTTCATTTGAATGTATGGCTCATTCAAATCAACATAATGCTGGAAAAAGAAAGATGCTATTGAATGACTCCACCAAAGATTTTAGACTTCATTAATTTGGAACTGCAATTTGTTCCAAGGAGGAACTATTTTTTCCTGCACTAAAATTACCTTTCGCACACCATCTTCCAGCATAGAACCTAATGTGTCGACTAGCTCTGTGAATGAAGGACGTAAAATTGGTCTGGCTTGCCAGCATTCCATCATTACTGTGTACCTGCAATGAAAACAAGCCTATAGAACAAATCTGTTGCAAAATGACAACATTTTAATATGAGATGTGGTGTAAACAACTTACAGGTCATCTGTAGCATATGGAGGCTTTTCCATTCGATATCCTTCTTCCAGTCTCTTGTACATATGTTCATCTGCTGCCATGCCTGTGTATGGTGTTCTTGCCAAAGTGAAAAACTCCCACAATACAATTCCAAATGACCAAACATCTGACTGTGTAGAGAAGATTCTATCCCTAATTGATTCTATCGCCATCCACTTAATAGGCAATGGCCCCTGAAAATTTATCAACACAATGTGTTACATAAGAACATATTTTCATTTGAAAAGACCAGAACTATCATACAAGAATGTGTGCAAAATTAGAAACTTACATTTTCTTTCTTTAAATAATTTTCATCCTTGTATACACTCTTAGCTAACCCAAAGTCACATATCTTGATAATATTATTGTCAGCTAGTAAAATATTTCTTGCAGCTAAGTCTCCGTGTAGCACCTAAAACAACATTATCACATAGAATTAGTTTTGATTCTCTTTTGCTGTGCTCTGCTGTACATTATAAATAGTGTAAGAACCAAATAATTAATTTTAACCAAAAAAATTACCTTGCGACTTGCTAAATATTCCATACCCCTAGCTACTTGGAAAGCGTAACAAAGGAGATCTCTAGTGCTAATGGGATTAACATTTCCTTTGTAGTCTCCTTTGTAGTTAGATCTCCAATCTGGTTGATGGGAGTTGTTGCTCATTAGGAACCCTTCCTCCCCACCTGTGAGAAATACAATAATTTTTCAAATAAGCATGAATGTAATTTTGTTTGTTCTCTTCCAGTTACTACGATCTAATAAACAGGAAACTTAGTAAAAATTTTAGGATGATTGACAAGGCACGCACCTGTTGGAGTCATGCAAACAAATGTAGCTTCAGTCGCTCCTGTGGCAAAATTTTCTGATGTATCTGACTGACTTCTGTAATCTGCTCTAGATTCTGAAGGTCGAAAGTCTCCCTTGAAGGAATCCGATTGGCTGTTGGAGAAGGAAAGGGCTGCATAATTCAACCTGTCAATGTTAGTGTTAGTAAGAGACAGAGAGAGCTTCAATCCAGAACCGGAAGATAAAGGAAAAGAACGCTTCATGCATTGTGCAGTAGAAAAAGGGACTATCTCATAAACCTGTCAGCCGTCACCAAAGAGGTTTCTAAAACCCATTCACCTTTTCCCTTATTTATTGTACATCATATAGGAAATCAGAGATGCAATATGAGTACATGAATCTCAGAAAATTTTGTTTCAGACTATAAAGTTTGTTAGTTTGTTTGAAATTGTTTAAGATTTACAGGAAAATAGGTAGATAAATAAACCATAATGAAATACCATACCTGTTGCGCCCATTAGGAAAATTAGCAAGAGACTCAATTCCTCTTGATGAATCAATTAAACCTGTCTCAGGGTCAATCTGATCTATAAATTTATTACGATGTTTCATCAGATAATTGTGTAGGTTACCATACCTACAATACTCAACAATAACTAAGAGTTCCACTGCAAAGATTAAAGCAGGAAAATTTGTTACTAATTGAACAAAAGATCTTTGTCTCACAGACAGTTCATAATAAAATAATTTTCACTCACTTTTGTTGAGACCTTTAGTGCATGCTCCTAATAAATTCACAACGTTAAGGTGTCTTCCTAAATGAACCATTATTTTTAGTTCCGACGCAAGAGCTTTAATAATAGCACTATCAGCTGTTTTTTTGACCATCTTTACTGCTACTGGGGTAACATGTTCTCCTTCATTGATTCCAAATGCTTCAGCCTTCACAACAACTCCAAATGCACCCGATCCAAGGGTTTTACCTGAAAATGAATTAACTTGTGAAATAAATAAATAAATCATTAAGAGACATTCTTTACTTTCAGCAAAACTAAAATTAGTTTACCAAGTTTTAATTTTTCACGTGGAAATTCAAATTTTCTGTCATACGGTAGCAGTTCAGCTTGATCCTCAACACCTAAATCCATGTTCAAATTTTCTATCGCACCCTCCTCAAAGTGCATGAGACCAGCTTGTGTAAGTTGCTGGCGAAGTTTCTGGGGGGAATTTTTTCAAAAATATTAGCTAGCTATTTGATTATGAAGTAAAGATTTCTTTGTTCTCATGTTAAAAATAACATACCTGCTCTCTTTGAACTCTAACAAATAAATATATGATGATAGCCAATAACAAAATAGCAAGACCCAACAAACCCACAACTAGTCCCACATTCACACCTTTTGGCTTATCTGTAAGAAAAACAAACAAAAATTTACAGTACAAACTGGGAGAATGTTAAAAATAAAAATATTGTTTACTTACCTAAAAGACTAAAAGTTATAGTTCTTTTAGCTGTGCCAGCTCTGTTTGTAGCTACACATGTATATTCTCCATCATCCTCTTTGGTTACATATTTAAATTCCAATACCAATCCATTTTCCAAAATTTCAATGTTGTCCTTAGGTGTTACGGGATTTTTTCCCTACAAAAATGTGTTTAAGTATTGTTATTACTAAATTGTTGCTAAAAGTAATTTTGAATCAGAACTTTGCAATTTTTACCAACCTTTAGCCAGGTTATTTGTGGTGGTGGTAATCCCACAGCATAACAGTAAAGTGCTTTGTTTTGACCTTCTGTCAATTCTTGCACATCACCTTTTAGATTGGTTCTGTTAAAAACGGGAGCAATCATACCTGTAGAGAAATGAGAAATATATTAAGAGCTTCCCACAGTTAATTGATGCCATATTTGCACAAACAGTATAAGATTTCTTTGGCATACCAGAGACATTTAACATAATAGACTTCTCATGTATCAAGTCAGCTTGAATAGGTTGAGCTACACAGGTATAGAGGCCTTGGTTTGCCTTTGTAACATTGCTGATCTGTAGTCGACTGTGCTTGGATAATTTAGTGCTCGTTGTTGATAAGCGTACATCTGTGAATTCAAAAATTTTAATACATTGAAAGGTTTAAAATAGTATGGAATACTAATCAACATACTATATGTTGAGCAGACTAAAAGACTCACTGCTATTTTCCAATAATGGATAGTCATTGAATTTCCAAACAATGTCATCCGGGTAAAGATGTTTGGATACACTGCAATTGAAGTCAAGATTTTCTCCTTGAACAGTGAGATTGTTCCCATAAAGATAAAAGCCTTGTGGAACATCTGTTTTTGACAAAAAATGTTGTTGTTAGTAGATTTCACTTTTTTTTCTTGTTGCAAAAAATATCTAAACATCATTTTGAGTACCTGTCACATAAAGTTTAACTTCCTTAGCCTGACAATTGTTGAAATAATCACAAGCTTCAGCTTGTATTATTCCTGAGCGGGTGGCGTTAATTGTCAGCTTTGAATGGACTTGAACCTTTCCAATGACCACATCTTCAGATGTCTAGAAGTAACAAAAATACAAAATAAGATATTCAATAGCTTAAAAAAACAAAACAAATTAGTACAGGATTAGTTAAAATTCTCACATTCAATTCTTCACTTTCTTCACAATGTTCCAAAACTTGAAAGTTACAGGGTCGAAAACTCCACTTAAAATAAGGTGGTGGATTACCCAATACAGAACACTCAATTTTTGCTATTTCGTTTACTATGTAAAAAGGCTCGACAGATATATTAAAGTCAGTGGGACCACCTGAAATTGATTTCAAAGATTTAAAAATTAAAAAGATAAGATACATGGATGAATGTTCCTGTTTTCATTCACTAATTTTCTTCAGAGTAGATGCTTACCCGTCACATCTAAAAAGAGATCTACAGATTTGCTGCTTCCTTCATTGACAGCTTTCAGTTTATATACACCTGTGTCCTCAATGCTAGGGCTCTTGATAACTAGCTTTGTAATATCAGGTTCCCGATAGACATCAAATTTACTATCGGACACAATCTCTCTATCTTCAGGACCCACATCTTCATACCTGTGTTAATGATCAGCAAAACAAAAATTTTAAAATTGAATTATTATTCTTGTTTGAAGTGTTAATCTTCTGAAAACTGACCAAATTAGTTGAGGTTGAGGGTGTCCTGAATAATACACAATCCATTGAACTGTGGAATGGGATCCTGCCTTGATACTAATATTGGTTTTGCCATGCTGGACTGTCAGGTTTATGTAGGAGTCATGAGGTCCTGGAAAAATGAGATTTATTAGTACCAGATTCCAATTTTTATAAATAACGAGCTAGAACATATCTTACCTAGGACACGTATGAACTTTTCTTCCATTTTCATATTTACATGATCTTTGGAGGTACACTTGTAATAACCCTCATCACTGGACTGAACTCTTTGTACTGTTAGTGTCTTTATTGCCTGACGACCATCTAAGGCAGGATCTGTCACTTCTCTTAGTCCACTTTCAACAATACGACCTGTCTGTAAACCCAACAACCATATAATTACACTAGACCATTTTCCTGAATATACTAATTTTCTCTTTAATAGTGATGATCCAAAAATATACTGACCTCTTTACCTTGCTGGTCTGGTACTGCCCACTCTAAATCCACTGGTATCCCAGTATATGGCACAGAACAGTTCAATTCCAAAGTGGACCCAAGAATAGCATGGTAGGGAAGAGAGTGTATATGGGGTGCATGAACATCATCTGAAACACCTGTAAATACAGTGTTTGAAATTGATTGTTGAAATTTATGAAACGTGAAACAATAATAGCGTACAGCTTAGAACAGCAAAACAACAGTGGTTCACTAGCAGAAAGAAAAAGTTTCATTCACAGCAAAAGCCAGCAGATGACCAGAAAGGGTTTTTAAAAGAGTTTTCTTGTACTTACAATAATAACAAGATATTATATTTTTAAGAAAACAAAGCATCCTAATCAATTTGGTAGGTAAGTCGACCACAGTTGTTTCATTGTATAAAATGTTTTTTAGAATAGAAAGGGCATTAGGGGAAGAAGCAAAAAAAAAAGTTGCAAGTCACATGCTAGAACCACAAACCACCACCATACACATTTTTACTATCTTATTCAGGAGCAAAATCCTGGAATTAACTTTAAAAGAAGCATAAGAGCATTAAAAATAATGTATTAGTTTAGTTAAACAAATTAGGACGGTTTAAAGCGGCATCCAGCATTTCACGAACAAACTTTCAGTAAAATTTCAGACACAGAGCTTTTACTGTGTGAGAATTCTTTGAAAAAATTTAAGTTTACAACTTTACACTGCTGGAAAAGCCTTGCCAGGAGTTCCTCAGAAAAGCCCTATCCTTACTTACTATGAAAATAGGGCAGGACCTCAACTATTTGAGTTGAGTTTTTAGAGCCCTTTCTAGCAATGCAAATCACCTCCCCAGATTCAATCATATTGGGATTTACATAAGTGAATCCAATCTTGGGATCAAAAGTAACAACATTATCTTCCACGAATATCTGTAAAAAAGCAAACAATAAAACCTTTTAAAATGTCCTAAGTGTACTGTGGCATCCTACATTTTGACTGCAACAATCGTTCTGAAAGTAAAAGTAACATAAAATTTTTAACTAGTGCAGGATGGTGGTTTATTAAAAATAAGTAATAAGTTATGGGACAGTAGAAGCACATACAGAACATATAACAATCATTTGAAAATGCAAATGCAGTAAAGCAGAATAAGGATGCCATATTTAAAAGCAAAGCATGCAATGGAAATTTCTTAAGCATGAACCATAAACAAAAATTTTTTTCATTCAGCAAGCTCATAAACTGTCAGTTCATCATAGATCTGAATGAAATATCCAGTAAATTGAGAATATTTCAGTGGAAAAAAGAAAACGGGGTCTCATGCAACAGTCCAGCCATTCCACAGAGCTCATGTTTGATACAAACACTGATTGTGTGAAGATGATTACGTACGCATGACTTTAACGAAGAAATCGAGAGTTTTAGTGCCTGCTGCGCAGGTGTACAGAGTGTCTGACAGATTTTTTTCCTGAATTATAAAGCCACGATGAGGATCAAATCTGACCAATGAACCATTGGTGCTATAGATCTGCAAGATTATTTTTACAATTTGTACATGTTTTTAAAGCAACAATTAAACATCAGTCACTGCCACACAGAAATTTTGTAAAAATAATAATATTGAACCAAAAGCACCACATATAAAATTAGAGCTCCAAATATACACTTTTCCACCAAGCCGTAAAAGGGGAAGCTAGGGTTATCTTTCAGAACCAAAGCCCAGTGATGCTGCAAAATGCAACAAAGACCCAACACTGTCACAAAGGCCAAAAGAGAAAAGTACCGTAGGAAAAATTAACAATATGCCCATGATTGAAACCAAAAGACGCAAATAAACAAAAGCCTAGAATTTAAGGTATGTCAAATAATAAGTGCGCAAAAGATGAATTGTAATTAGTCAAAAATATAACAAGTTTATGTATTAGAATAAGACTCCAAGTATTTACAGCTTTTCACATGTTTTACTTAATCTCATTCTTTTTCAGGCATGCCATTGGTTGGAAAGAACGTCATTATTTAAAGTGATACATACCTCCTCTGAATCTTTCATGAGAGTCACTGTTATATTGGGAGCTGTAGGTCTACAAGGTATGACAAGCTCCCCTTCAGAACTGGGCTGCACAATTACCAAGTCATCATTAACTAGAAGTTCATTATCATCTGGAATCAAAAATTTATTT